GATGTTTCAGGAATAGGGATAACAACGTCGATGTCCTTGACAATCTCAGGTCCGAGAACATCGAGGATTCTCGCGGCAAGCCGATCACCCATGCGCTGACGACTCCGGTAAACGCTGATACCGTCGATGACGGAGTCGGGACGTGCGAAGTAGACATACTCGAAAATATCGGGAGCATATGCCTTCTTCGGCGCCACCTGACGGAAGACCGGCTCTCCACCCTTTTCGATGATAACGGCTTCACCAGGCTGGATATCACGGAAGTTGCTGAATCCAAGCTGGTGCAGGGCAACCGACTCGGACGCCATCATGTAATCCGTTCCGGGGCCGTCCAGGGAGGGTCTGGAACCAAGAACCAGAGGACGGATACCGTAAGAGTCACGGAAACCGAGGATACCGAACCCTACCATGATTGTCAATTGATATTCAGGAAATCACTGAGAGTTATGAATCTTGCTCACCTGCCAGCATCGCCGTGCAAGCCCAGCCACCCTGGCATCTCTCGTACATCCTGCTAAGGCTTGCAAAGAGATCTTCACTGTTCACACGCGCCTTCTTGGTCTCGCTGAGCTCATCGGCAAAGATGTTCAACATCAGCTCACTATCACTATCGGTGTTGATGTGACGGTGGGCCTCGAGATCCAAGTATCTTTTCAAATCGGGAGCATTGATGAGGTTTCCGTTATGAGCCAGGCAAATACCGTAGGGGCTGTTCACATAAAAGGGTTGAGCCTCGGCATTCGCGCTGCTTCCAGCAGTCGGGTATCTCAGATGTCCAATGCCCATAGAGCCTGGGAGGTCCGCCACTCTCGCACCATCATTGAAAACCTTGGCTGCCATACCGTTGGCTTTCAACTGGTAGAAGCGACCACCTGCCGCGCACGTTGCAATACCCGCAGCATCTTGGCCACGATCTAGTAATTGGAGATTGAAGATTAGTCTTGACCCTCGAAAGGCATTGCGTATCGTCCGTTTACTCACGTTGCAGAAGGTAGAGCGCTTCGTGGAGATCGACGGCGGCGGACGACTTGGGGTTCGCCAATATTAAACCGATGATACCACACATCTTGCTGAGAGGGTATTCTAGAAGTATTCATGATATCAGCATTGAGCCTGAAAATCAGACTGAACGGCAAGACAAATCAAGATTAAGCAATTAAAGTCAGATCGGATATTTCTCCGCAAGGATGCTTAGGAAGTCTAACATCTATAAAAACCGAAATTCATCATAAAAGAGAAGGAACGACATGTACGAAATTAAGAAAAAAAAGTCACGAGTGACACTCACGTCTAGAGGCAAAAGTTCTGGCACGCGCACACAGAGACCGGGGAGGGGGTCGAGAAAAGGACCGGAAATGTCGGCGAAGACAGGGGTGGTATTGGAGAACGACTCTCTTATTGAGACATAACAATAGCCACTGAAAGATGACTAGAGTCAAGACGGTGGTCAACGCAGAGCCCACGAAGGGAATATTGAATGAACAGATGTCATGGTGAAGGAAGAGTTAGGAGAGAGGGAAAAACTGGGACGAGAGGAAGCCCTCATATTCTTTTAATTCCTCAGTGCTGTTGGTTCTGGTTCTTTCCCCACCGCTCAGTCAGTGGAAGAAACAGAATTTTTGCGGGTGCCGCTAAACCAATAACAAATGAAAGGCTACACTCGGCACTGCTTCGGAGCCTCAGGCAGTGCCGAGACCGGCGATGACATAAGCTGTCAATTTTGCCCCTCACAAACAGGGCAAACATACTTCGTTTGTCTTCAGTATCAACACTCTTTGATAGAGTGACCTCTCCTGGAATGATGGGAACAATTTACTTGATAAGACGTAGCTCAACTCAAGTTACTGGTGATCTGTAAATGAAGTGTTATTAGTCGAGTCTCAGCTCAGCTCATATTTCAGCGTGAGCAGACTGAAGAGCCTCATGACTGCTGGGAATAAGCCTATTGATGAACTTAGTACTTATAACAGTGCTCATTGATTCACTGCTCAATGGTTTGCCAGCTCTTTGTCGAACATCCTTATGGTTGATTGCTCCACTTCTTTGCTAAATTCTACTTGTGTTACTCTCCCTCATAGTGTTCTGACCAACATGATCTATACCATGGCATATCTTCCAGTTCTCAGGTTGTTACGCTCCTTACATTCCCTTACTCTCCCAAGTTTCTCTTTCCCAGCATTTCCTAGTTGCCTCCATTCTACGAAACCGTTGGCAATTCAGAATAGCTCAAAGACCTTCCTCATCCTCCAGCTCTACCTGCTTTAGTAGAGATGAACCGTCCTACAAATGATTTCCTCCCTTCCCAGGAGCTTCCACAGCGTTCAGAGCCCATATACGTCGACGATAGTGATGATTGTAGCATCTGTGATACCGACAGCAACACTGGCAGCAGCGTCACGATCAATAACGACCCGGATCGGTCGTTTTTCCTTGATGACGAACAATTTCACCCTGGAGGCAGCCGACGAACCCCAACGCCTTTCCACATAGGACCTCAAACTCACCAAGAAATCATAGACCTCACCTCGGGCCCTGAGCTATTGGTCACCGAAGGCGATTATCTCACCGATGAATGCTTTGAGCGTCTTCTCCGAGACTGGGGCCGACCTGGACCCGCGGCGGCGCCTCCGCCGATTCATGAGGCCACGGAATCGGAAAAGCGCCCAATCGACCATGCTTGCGTAGACGGAATCGTTTACAAAGCGGGGCATTCCCTTGAACTTCACAATGGCCTTTATCTCAGAATCGAAACTGTGCTTCAAGATACTGCTGGAGAGATCTTCTTTCAGGGCCGTCATCTGATCCGAACGAGGAATCACAAGGGAACTTATATACCCAAATGGTCCAATGAACTGGTCTGGATCGTTAATGAGTCAACAGAAGTCCCACTGGGCTTCGTCAAGCGCTTCATCAATATTCGTTTCACAAGCTGCTGCCATGTTGAGCAGGATCTCCAGAAACAAAATCGGCCAAATGATCTGTTCTGTCGATTGAAGGAGAATCTTGATTCATCTCAGGCAGCAGTAGAGTACCTGTCATCCCAAGAATCTGATGAAGGCTTTGCAATCGATTCTACGTCTTTACGAGAGTCATGGCGAGGTGAAACTCGTCCGTTTGGTAGTGCGGATACCAATTCTCAACCACAATCTCCAGTCATAGTCCTGGATGCAGACCCTGTCATTGATCTTACCGAAATTGAGAAAGAAGACGCCAGAGTGCAGAGAAAGCATCGCAAGTATACGTTTGGCGATGGGTTCTGTGGTGCAGGGGGTGTCTCTTGTGGTGCTTCGAAGGCTGGTCTGCATATCAAGTGGGCATTCGATAAGTCGGAGAATGCGATTACTACGTATCGTCTGAACTTTGCAACTGCGGTGTGCGAAGCATGTGACATCTTCTGTTTCTTGACGAATAAGATAGAAGATTTAAAAGTGGATGTCAGCCATGGTTCTCCTCCGTGTCAGACATTTTCTCCAGCCCATACGATCAACAGTGTGAATGACGATGATAACTCGGCGTGCATCTTTTCCTGTGCGGACATGATTAAGAAATCGAGGCCGAGAGTGCACACAATGGAGGAGACCAGTGGACTTTTTGATCGACACAAGGAAACCTTTCACAGAGTCATCCAGGATTTTATAGAGATCGGCTACTCTGTTCGTTGGAGAATCCTGAATTGCATGGACTATGGGGTACCGCAATCGCGAAGAAGGCTCATCATTATTGCTTCCGGGTAAGGACCCTGCTTTCGTATTGTTCTCCTGTCTGTCCTCACTGGCTTTTCAATGTGTAGGAGCTGATGTCTTTCTAGACCAGGAGAGGTGTTGCCATCCTTTCCGAAACCCACTCACGGGCTGCCGGGATCGGGCCTTTCTGATTACACCACGATCAACCAGATGATAGCGAACATCCCCCCAGATGCCCCGGACCACGATATCGAAGGTGCGAGGAGTCGAGGACTGCGCAATGGAACGAGGATCCCCTTCGACCCGAACCAGCAGGCAAAAACCGTGACCTGCAGCGGCGGGGAGAATAATTACCATCCGTCTGGCACACGGGGCTTCACAAACCGCGAATTCGCCTGCCTGCAAACGTTTCCTCTAGACTATCGCTTTGGAGCACGAGAAGTTCGGAGGCAAATCGGGAATGCCGTCCCTCCTGCGCTGTCCAAAGCGATTTACCGAGAGATCATCAAGTCGTTGCAGCGTACGGACGAGCTGGGTATCCGTGACAAGGGCAAAGGCGTTGGTTTCTTCGATTCGTATTCATCTCTGTGGTAGATTTGATAAATTTTGGTCCTTGTTCAGTTCATACGAAGCGTCTGTTTGATACCCGGATAAAAGAGGGAGGTTTCCTCCATGATTCATATCTATAATGGTGACTGGTTTAGTCAATTGATCTCCAATCGGCTGGTGCAAATGCTCTGTCCATTATATGGGGTTAAGCTATAGCCGCGGAAATGGAAAAGATGCCGTCCGACCGCGGGGAGCTCCAAGGGATGATTTTGGCCATCACCATCGGCAGAGAAGGATCCTCCCTCGACGCTTGACTCTCGGTCAAACCGCTTCAGATCATCGGACTGTTTAGTTGATTGATAGTGAAAGTTTCAAGCTTGTGCCAAAATATGACATCCGCAGTGTTCATGCTTCCCAATGAAGCGGAGCAGCACCGTAATCATGACAGTCGCAGGCTGTTGAGTATGCAATGTAGAATCATCACAGACCTGGAGACTTCGAATGATTCAAGAATCAAAGCGATTTTCCGACACCGGAGAAAAGTCTGGACAGTATGACCATTAGAACTCCGTAGATGAAGGATCATCATCTGGTCATTTTACAGTGTGCATTCGGATAGCCGGGAGTAACCGCAGGACAACAAACAGAACCGGCCTCGGTCCAGCGAGAAGTTCGATCTCGCTCAACAATTATCCCTCGCGGTCCCTTTTCTCCTTCTTTTTTCTCCTCTTCTTACCTTTCCTCCTCCTCCATTGCTAAGCGACCATCCTTAATTACAACTTCTTCTCCTCTCCTCTCCTCCTGTCTCCTGAGTATTGCATCCTCCTTCTTTCCCTTCTCCTTCCATTATGTCTGCCTCGTGTTCGGCGCTGAGACGGCTGACCCACAGGTCTCCCCGCACTTTGCCATCCCGCATCGTCTCCGTCTCCAGGCCCTCCTCCCGCATTGTCGCTCGCAACTCCTTCACCAAAGCCGTCAACCCTTGTGCTCCCCGAGTTTCACAATTCTCGACAATGACTGTCCTTCAGCACGGTGCTCCCTCTGCTCCGACAGAGAGGAGCTATGATCCCGAGATCAAGGATATGGCTGATTATGTTCACAACTACAGTGTGAACTCTGATTTGGCGGTATGGGTCCATTCTTCTCCGTTGCGCATAAGCGATTTTTTGGCCTCAATATGAATTCTATCAATTGAGGCGTGGCATTGGTTATTCAGTTCGCATCGCTGGAAGGAAGTAGCTCATGCATTGATTTGATTTAGTATGACACTGCCCGTCTGGTCTTCCTCGACACGCTGGGTTGCGGATTGGAGGCCTTGAGATTCAAAGAATGCGCCAAGCTGTTGGGCCCGTTGTTGAGGGCACTGTTGTTCCTAACGGTACCCGTGTCCCTGGTACTCCCTACCAACTTGACCCTGTCAATGGTGCCTTCAACATTGGTGCCATGATCCGGTGGCTTGACTACAATGACTGCTGGCTTGCCGCCGAGTGGGGTCACCCCTCCGACAATCTGGGCGGTATTCTCGCTGTCGCTGACTGGATCTCCCGCACCAACCGTGCCGGAGGTAACCTCGGAAATGGCAAGATTGTGAAGGTCAAGGAAGTGCTGGAGGCTATGATCAAGGCCCACGAAATCCAGGGTGTTCTGGCCCTGGAGAATTCCTACAACAGGGTCGGTCTGGACCACGTTGTGCTGGTCAAGGTTGCCACCACTGCTGTGGTTGCCAAGATGCTCGGTCTCAACGAGAAGCAGACCGCTGATGCCATCACCCAGGCTTGGGTGGACGGCCAGAGTCTCCGTACCTACAGACATTCCCCTAACACCATGTCCAGAAAGTCGTGGGCTGCTGGTGATGCTTGCCAGCGTGCTGTTAACCTTGTTCTAAAGGTCCAGAAGGGCGAGGGCGGTGTTCCCACTGTCCTATCCGCCCCCGTCTGGGGTTTCTATGATGTTCTGTTCAAGGGCAACAAGTTCAAGTTCCAGCGCCCGTACGGCAGCTACGTCATGGAGAACGTTCTCTTCAAGGTTTCCTACCCAGGTAAGTTTGTGCGGAAGTGGGAATTAGACGAGTTCATTATTAACCCTTGACAGCCGAGTTCCACTCACAGACCGCCATTGAGTGCGCGCAGATTATCAACAGGAAGCTGGCAGCTATGGGCAAGAGCGCCAAGGACATCAAGGAGATCACCAACCGGACCCATGAGGCTTGCATCCGGATTATCGACAAGCAGTTCAAGGCTATGGACAACTTTGCGGACCGTGACCACTGTGTTCAGGTATGTTTTCAGCTCGAACTCGACCTCGGAAGCTTTGCTGATCTTGATCAAGTACATGGTTGCCACCATGCTGGCCTTCAACCGCCTGACCGCCGAGGACTACGCTGACGGCTCCGAGGCTGCCACCTCACCTCTGGTTGAGGACCTGCGCAAGCGCATCCGCTGTGTGGAGGACCCCCAGTTCACCCGTGACTACCACGACCCTGCCAAGCGCACCATTCCCAACGCTCTGACCGTTACCCTGAACGACGGCACCGTTCTGGAGGAGGTCGTTGTCGAGGCTCCCCTGGGACACCGCTTCAGACGTGAGGAGGCCAAGCCCGAGATTGTGTCCAAGTACAAGCGCCACCTGGAGGCCCACTTCGACCAGACCCGTATTGACGAGCTTCTGAAAGTTGGCTTGGACCGTTCTTCTCTGGAGAACTACGATGTTGACAAGTACGTTGACCTCTATGTCAAGGACAAGATGGTCGCCGCTGCTCAATAATTGTGTCAAAATTAGAATTGATTTTAGCATGTTATGTCATTATACGAAAAGGTTTCTGGTCCTATACGATAGCAGAAGAATAGATTTTCTTAGCATACCAGGTCAGATCTAGTAGACATACCTGAACTGCATATTCGCCAGATCAGTAATATCCACCAACTCCGTGGGCTTTTCGGCGTCGTTAACAGGCCCAGCAACCCTATCTCTCCTCCGATTCTCCCACCGTAGGTACACCCCAACACAAGAGCCACCAGCACCACAACCACAAAACAAACAATGACCGCCTGAAACCCACTCTGCATTCATTCCATCAGCCCAGTTTCCCTCAGTTTGATGAACTAGTACACATACCTGATACCTCGGCGCCTCACTCTCAAAAAACAACTGCGGCCCAACAATATTCCCCGCGCAATACATAACGAAATAGATTGCGCTGACAGTCGCCCGCTTACTGAACCCGCCGATATTCGAGGCAACCATTGCGAGCGACAGAGGCATGCTAACAGAGTAGACGCCCATGAGGAGGAGGCCGGCGTACCGCGTCGCGATGGACTCGGTGGCGTAGACGAGGGCGCTGCCTAGGATGCTGTGATCGTCATTTTGTCAGGGACAGTTGCGGTGGAGAGTTGGCTTTTGGGAGGGCGGATTTACCTGATACAGCCTACTGCGGCGATGACGATGCAGCGGCAGTTTTGGATTTTGGAGGATAGGGTGGAACTATCGTTCGATCAGAGGGTTAGATCTGGGAGAAGGGCAAGGAGACTTACGAGAATAAGACGAAGACGAGGATTACAGCGCCGACTGGCATACCCAGCAGCAAGGTCTTGAAGGTCGAGAAGCCGAAGCCGTAGAGGATGAGGCTTGAAAACTGGGGGGTTGTTAGCATCTGCGGTGTTCGGGGTAGCGAGGACGGGTATACCGTTGTGAATCCGCCGTTGGGGATGTTGAAGCCCAGGATCATGACGGCCAGCAGCCAGGTTTTGGGATCGACGAAGGCCTCGATGATTTGGGCGGTGTCGATTTTATTGCGCTTGTATCCGGCTTTGTTGGCTTTGAGGCGTTCGATGGCGAGGAGTTTCTCTTCTTCTGTGAGGAAGGTGGCTGTGTTGGGTGTGTCGGGGAGACGGAAGAACATCAGGATGCCCCAGAGGAAGGTGATGATGCCGAAGATGATGAAGAGCCACTGTATTGTTGGACATTATGAGTAAGAATGGAATTGAGACTTGGAAAGGGTGTGGCAATACCTTCCAAGACTGCAGACCAGTCTTGATTTGCCAGATTCCCACTGCAACGAGATTCCCTATGATCATTGAGATGGAATTCCCACAGAACCAGATCCCATGTCGGAGTGGTTGCTCAGACGTCCGGTACCACAGCGAAGTAATCAGACTGAAACCGCTGGAGACACTCGCCTCGGTGCATCCCAGGAAGAAACGGGCCACCATGAGCCCGGCGAAATTGGTCGTGGCGGCATGGGAAGCCAGAACAATAGCCCATAGCATGCTGTTCATTGTCAGTATAATCCCTAAGGGTTCAGGGAAGTGACGAACAAGTTACAGGCCAGATACTTCCCCAGCGGAAACTTGACCAGGAGAATAGAGGCTGGATATGAGAAGAACAGATAGCCAAAGTAGAATATGCTGCCGGACCAGCTATACTCGGATCCCTTGAGGTTGAGATCTGTTCGCAGGCCCATGATGGCCGTGTAGCTGAGGGCTTGTTTATCTAGGAAGGCCATCATATAGGCAAATGTCATAATAGGGAGGATCCTTATAGCTGTTAGTTCATGGCAGACTGGTTGTCTGATTGCATGTCGGACATACATAATGTCAATCTTTCGGACGAGTCTTTTCTCTGCGGTGGACGAAAAGGTAAAGCACTCTTGAATCTGTTGCACAGCGCCCTCGTCGAGGTCATCTGCATGCTTGTTGTTTTGTAGTGTCTTCTCGCTTGACATGTTTCCCATTTTGAATTGCAATCAGTGTCTCAGCCATGCAGTCTCGTTCCATTCTGTATACAAACATCCCTATTTATATCCAGCAACATTGGAATCTCTATCTTGTACCCCCGCATTTCGAAGATAAAGTTGAGCCCGTGGATATAGAGATAACGGCGCCGAAGATTGACACTGCCGGGATAGTGTCATTGGCTGCGTCGGCAAAGCTAGCAGGCCTTGGCAGCTTTGGCGATACGTATACGATATAACTAGCTATAGAAGTTGATCGGAGAGTATGAGTCAATTGGATAGAAGAGCCGAGGCTAGAAGGTGCCGTACATCTCATTCCCTTATCAGACAGAAACTATGCGGTGGGATCATGTTCCATTCTACTCATACGTCACCTAATGATTACTCTAGAAATATCCTGCCTACATAGGTTATAACATAATCTACGCGTCTCTTTGGAAGTCCTCCTTCACCTGTGCTGCGAACTCATCGTCCACCAACATCTGACAAGCGACTACTGCCATTCCTGCGGCGCAGTCGAGACATCTCTCGTACGATGCTTGGGATCCGGCTCCTGCTGTAAACTCTGGCGTATGATTGACCCCTTCTGCCGCAATGGTGAACATTCCATGGAACCCAGGAACAGCATATGACACGTTTCCTACATTATAAAAGTTAGTCGTTTGGAACAACACGTTCAGAGGGATTCATACCCATGTCTGTAGAGCCTCCCCCGAGAGCGTTTGGCTGGCCGGCATTGTCATAGAGGGTATGGTGACCCATTGCGCGCATCGCAGATACAAAACTCTGGCAGATGGGACGATTTGTCTTTAAATCGGCATATGAAATTCCCCTGTCATGATCAGAACGACGATACATTCCCACCAGGACATAACCACTCACCATTCAAAGTCGACTTTGCAACCTGTAGCCACTGCAGCTGCCTCAAAGCACTTGACCACCTTGTCCGTAAGGACTTTCAGACTCTTAACTGTGTCTGATCGGATGTAGTAGTCCACCGTTGCAGACATGGGAATCACATTCGGCCGGTCTCCCCCATTGACAATAACCCCGTGGATTTTCTGGGAAGGCCTGATCTGCTGCCGCAAGAGGGAGATGTTCACATATGCAGAAACCACAGCATCAAGAGCATTGATCCCTTCCCACGGAGCGGCTGCCGCATGCGCCGGTTTGCCAGTAAAAGTCACGCGCACCTTATCATTGGCAAGGAAGCCTCCTGGCACCGTTGTAGCTATACACAGCAAATCCGGGGCACTGGGGACCATAGGCATGGGATGAACCATGAGACATGCGTCGACATCTTTATACGCCCCATTGTCCAGCAGGCGCACCTTTCCGCCGCCCGACTCTTCGGCGGGAGTACCCAGAAGACGCACGGTATATCCGAGCTGCTCGGGGCAGTGGATTTTCAACGCTTCGCAAGTGGCGATGAATGCAGCGATGGAGCTTGTCGCGATGAGGTTGTGCCCACACGCGTGCCCGATATTGGGTAGTGCGTCGTATTCCGCATTGAATACCACGATGCGACCACCGGCACCATGTTTGTACTCAATTTCTAGAGCCGTGTTCAGGTCATACGCCTTTCTACGCACTTCATAGCCTTCAAGGGTGTCGAACAGCTCGCAGATGTGGTCGTGTGCTTTGTGCTCCTCATAAGCTAGTTCCGGATTCGACCAGATCTGGACGGTTAGCGGACGTTATGGTTGTGATGGAGTCAACCTTACTTTGTTGTTGATATCGTTGAGCTGCGCGTCATACTTGCGAATGGCATCGCGAACTCTTCCGATGAATTGTTGTTGAGATACGGAGAGCTGCATTATGCTTGTCTGACCCTTGGCCGTTCTTCTTGATCATTTCGAAGGCCTCCAAGCCAAGGCTGACTCGGAGTCATTTTATATGCTTGTTCTGCTAAGACGATCAACAAAGCTGAAGCCTTCAACTTCCATCTCGGCAACGTGTGGACTTGCCGAATGGGGATTGTCATGACTCCAAAAGTCATGATTGGCTGAGATAAGTGCAAATCACGTGTAATTAGCCGATGCAGCCAATCACGAATAGCGACTCGGTATTTCTCCGCATCCTCGCTTCGTTGCCGATTTGGGGTGGCTATGTCAACCTCGACGTATCTCTCACTCTCCTCACCTGGTCGCTTCATGCCAGTCGTCGTGATAAGAGGACCCATTGGATAATCATACCTCGCCGGCAAACCCCGCTAATGTTCGTGTGCTCGAATGTGAGGGTCGCATTAATACCAGTCATCAGCAAGCAATCTGGCTGTTCAATGATTCAGTATGTACAAGACTGGCCGAAAAGCACGTTCCAAGACTGGTAGGATTATCTGCTTTCTGGCCTGCTGCCAATGACTCATAGAATGCAGGTTGCCGTACGTGTCGGATCCGAAAAGTGAAATGCGATGAGGAACGGATTATCGTCGACAGCAAGAAGGAACCCCAATGCAGGCGATGTTCTGTCGCGCGAATCTCCTGCGAATGGAAGGGTGGACCCATCCCTCGTCGGTCAACGACAGGGAATAGAAAGAGTCTGGAGTCAGGGACCCATGCTAGCTCGCATGGCTCGATGAGAAGACTGGCTGACTTGCAGACTGCCTTACTTCCTGCTTGCACCCATGACAGTAGTCTGCAAGCTGCCAATTCACTTCTCCTCTCGAGATCTGACCGGTCTCGCTTGAACTATCTTCGGGATTCTGTCCTTGTAACTATACTCGGCAAGCATTGGCCGTGGTCCACCATCTCCTACACCTACCATAGAGTAGCCGTCAAGGAACCTATGGTGATGAGCATGATCCTCGCCACGACTGCCAGTGAAATCCATCGATCACGCCTCCATGCTTGCGAAAATACACGCGTATACCCCCCAACCAGTAATTCGTCCGATATCGATGGCAGGGTACACTACGGCACAGCGTTGTCCAGACTCCGTGAAGCACTGGCTGAAGGCGTGAAGACCCCGTCGAAGGTCGAGGCGGTTTTTATAACGTTGTGGCTGATGATCGATTACGAGAACCGGTTCGGTAGTGGTGCATCTACAATCAACATCCATCTGCGAGGGATTGAAAGCATACTGCACAACTATATCTTACCTCAGTTGAAATACGAGGACTGTTCGGCCCCTGCAATTACTGCCGGCAGTCCTGAAGCGGCAGGATTGCTGTTTGACAATTCGGCTGAGGGCGCGAGCTTGATCGAGAGAGCGGCCAGGAGTTCGGTCGAGTCGGTAGCTGGTCCATCTGAGGGGAAACTAGTTTACACCGCAGTGCCACTATTCCTGCTGTGGACCCTCTACTTCTTTACGCCAGGCGCGCTTTTCTTTGGCCCTGGGGCTGTATATGAACCAGGGTTTGACAAAGTCAACAATGATCTCTATCGTCTCTTCCGTCTCTTTCTTCATGCAGAAGATGAAAACACGCCATTGAACCTAGAGAACCTCTATCGTATCAGTAGACAGTCGCCTTCGAAGTTCTGGGGAGAAGCCTACCCAGCCAAAGCACAACTAGACGACATGGAAAACTATCCCGGCTTAGCCCTTTACCACAAAAGCCATGTGGTTCAATTCAGAATCACCGAGCTATTTCGGCAAGCAAGAAGCACCTCGTGGAACGAAGCACCTTATCAGCAGATTGTCGAAGAGATAACCAAGATAGCCAATGTAAGGCCGTTCGCACCCATGTTGCTGCTCAGACTGACATACCATGCTAGGAGTTCGAAATGCTTCTCTCGTCTGCAAAAGCCGCCCCGTCGTGTGATATTGTGGGAGACGGGCGCCGCCTGATGGAGACAATCTATTGGGCAGCCATCACGTATTACAGCACGATTGTATACTTCCACCTATGCTTTGACAGGCTGCTCCCAGACAACATGCCGACCATGTTGATGTCGCGAGAAAAGGCCGTCTCCCTAGTTTTAGACCTATCCCTCAAGCTCCATCGAAGCAGACCGCATCTCATGGTGCGCATCACGTGGCCGCTCTTCATGGCAGGCGTGGCTACCACGGACAGGATCTATCAGGATTGGGTGTCCATCCGATTACGAGAGTTGGGACGGTATGGGCAGAATTACAGCCGTGTCAGCCAACGCTTTGACGAGATTATTCGCGGAAGTGACCTTTTTGCGTATTCTCAGAAGCAACTTCCGTATTACGATGCTGGTTGATCCACTCAAAGATGACCAATCCGATTAACTCCTTTTCGATCAACAGATCACTTCGAGAACGTTCGAAAACCAGCGATGATCTTGGCAAAAAGTGCCCAAGATATTCGCCGAATTGACTCCAAGCGACAGGATGTTGTCTTACCAGAATAGTCTGGGGCACATGACTTGAGATGCAGGAGACACTGATATCTGATCTATTCTCCGGCCTCGCCTCTAGTGCATTTAGAGTTTGGTTGGATATGAGATTTGATCCTTGACTCTTTGACTTCACGATTGGACCGAGTTGAAACCAGATTTCTCCGAATGTCTTAGTGGATGTTTGGGAATGAGGTTGCTTCAGTGCTTCGCCATGGATTGAACTTTGCGACGAGCCTTCTTGGCGGATGGAACACTCGAAAAAACCTCTAGTTGAGGGTGCTATAGAGTTTATGGCATTATTCAGTGCCACCTACAACGATACTCATCCAAAAGGTCGTTAGATTTACAGGTCGATACCGACCTTGTCTGCTCTTCCGCCATCATGCCAAGAGAAATTGCTGTACTGGATAGTGATTTTACATGACAAGCCAGAGACAAAAGCAAAATAAGCGCTAAACGTGGTTCCAAGAAAGTCCAGCCAGCTTGGAAAGGAACAACAAAAGCAAGCGAAAATCTGAATGTCATTCCTCCGGGGCGTACGATGCCTGACATACTGGGCACCTGTATGGACGGTATTCCCACCATGACGCAAGACAGAAGTAATGAAACGCATGGCCACAGCGATTGAGAACGAGCAGAGAGGCCTCCGCAGGCGGGCCCAGATCAGATGTGCCTTGTGGGTAACGCTCGGGATTCGAGCACGGAAGCGATGATTGTGACGGCGACGAGGGTAGCACGGTCGAGAGGCAGACGGCACTATGAGAACAAACCCACCATTACTCATTAGTAACGGTGTGATCACGGATTGACGATGTCTCACTGATGAGAGCAGCCAAGGCCGCTAGTGCAGCCCTGTCCCCGCTTTGTCTCCAACGCCAAGAACAAAGGATGGCCGATAGCCCGATAGTCTGAGAAGGGGACTTACCACGGTTCTTGCGCGTACCGTCCAAAATCATGGACATTATTGTTGTTGTTGCTGCTTCGGCTGCAGACAGCGGTATCGCTCCGCTGCTCTTCCAGCCATCTCTCCACGCCCACCTGTCGCATGCAGCCATATTCTCGCAGTGCGGCGAGCTCGCGTGCTCTTCTTGCAGCCTCTTTCCTGCGGTGCCGCCACATGATTATGCTGTGGTCCAAGTTTGTCAGTTGTTACCTCTATAGTTCGATTCCAGCGTTCTGGGCACTCGCAACGAAGCGTATAGAAAATCATGGAACATTCCCCGCGACATTCGAGGACAGGTCGAACTCACATAGGGATCGCACTGATGGCGACGAATAAGACGACTGCTCCCGCAACTACACCTGCGATCTCGCCATTGCTAGCCATAGACACTCACTCCGTAGACGAAGGGCGTATAGTCAATACGAGAAGCAATGAACCAGTCTCTAACAGACCACGGACGACACGTAATCGGGTAAATCGGCTAGCTTCAACAAGCCAGAATATAGTAATGCACAATCAGATCAAAGCGAGTGCCTGTGCACAAGACACAATCACTGGGTGTGGGGACTGAGGGAGGGGAGGATATCAGACAGCCATTCAGAGAACCAACACCCACAATGGAGCACACACACTAGGAAAGATAGTCACAGGCCGTGTTGGGCGTCGGGCTCCGTCTGCCCAGGGGACCAGCCTGCATTTAGATAGGGCTGCCACTGGGTCTCAGGCCACCACTTGCTGCCTCTCGCCAAGACTCCCAAGACCGTCCAGGCGGGAAATAACCCCAAGGCCGCCAAGGCTCCCGCTCTTGGCGCAGTGGTTCCGGTTGCCCCGCGACCGCCTTGCTCAGCCAATCAAACCGCTTACTCCAAAAGGATTGGCCACTTATTCGCCCTGAGGCTTGGCGGTTTCTTGGTATCGCCCGGCCGAAGGTGCACACGTGGGTGGGATGTCGGCCGTGTCTGATGTCGTGTGCGTCATCGGGCCGGGAGGGGGCAAACGCTCGCGCACCGACCCAAGGAATTCGGCCAAGATTCTGGATCGATTGCCTCTTATGTATGCGATGGGTTGGGGATGTGATTGATGTGCAGTGTAAACGAGTACGGATTGATAAGGGTGCCAAGATTGGAACCACAGTTCGCGTCATGGACGGGTTTCGGGGCGCCGGTGATGAGTGACACAGAGCGACTTAAATATGTTGCGATACCCCCCGCAAGGAACAGGAAAAGAAAATCTGGATCTGCAATCTAGGCTTTAGTTCCAAAGTTGATTTCAAGTCGTTGTGTATGGACTCTCACTCTCTTGAAGATACAATATACATGAAGCCTCCTTAAGATAACGTCACTGGAATAGAACTTTCATTATAACATGGGTGCGCAGAAGAAGCAATCCTCTGACAACTCTCAGGCTTTGTCTCAGCCTGCTCATGCTCTTCGCTATGAGGATGTCCTTCGTGAGCTGGTCGTCGATCCCGACGAGGGTCTGACATTGGAGGAGGCGAAACGAAGACTCCAACAGTATGGTCTGAATGAGCTGGAAGGGGGAGAGGGTGTTTCAATGGTCAAGATTGTCATTAGGCAGATTGCCAATGCCATGATACTGGTTAGTCTCTCCATTGTTAGACAGATTTTGACAGACAACTGACGACAGCAGGTCCTGATCATCGCCATGGCGGTCAGTTTCGGCATTCAATCCTGGATCGAAGGTGGCGTTATTGGAGCTGTCATTGGTTTAAACATCGTGGTAGGTGTCTACCAAGACTATGCCGCAGAGAAAACGATGGACTCGCTTCGATCATTGAGTTCTCCCACCGGAACCGTCACGCGTGATGGCAAAACCAATACCATTCCTGCCAACGAGATTGTCCCTGGGGACATGGTTGAACTCAAAGTTGGAGACACGGTTCCTGCGGATCTTCGGTGCGTATGAGTTATCAGACAAAATGTCGTTCCGTTCACTAACTGTTGATAGGCTCGTCGATGCTATGAATTTCGAAACCGACGAGGCTCTCCTGACTGGCGAATCGCTGCCAGTGCAAAAAGAGGTCGAAACAACGTTTGACCCGGATACAGGGCCTGGAGATCGCTTGAACATCGCGTATAGTTCCTCGACGGTGACGAGAGGCCGCGCTCGGGGCGTTGTCATCGGCACCGGGATGCAAACAGAGATTGGAGCCATCGCCGCTGCTCTCCGCGCCAGCGACTCCAGGAAGCGGCCCGTCAAGCGCGGTCCCGAGGGAGAAACCAAGAAACGATGGTACGTGCAGGCGTGGACCCTGACCTGCACAGACGCCGTGGGACGATTCCTGGGAATCAACGTTGGCACACCACTGCAGCGCAAACTATCCAAACTGGCTTTGGCCCTTTTCGTCATTGCCGTCATCTTCGCCATCATTGTCATGGGCGTCAATGGGTTCCGCAATGACAAGGAGGTCATCATCTACGCGGTCGCAACGGGACTTGCGATGATTCCTGCCTGCTTGGTGGTGGTTCTGACCATCACCATGGCGGTTGGCACCAAGCAAATGGTTGAAAGACATGTCATTGTCCGGAAACTTGATTCTCTTGAAGCCCTGGGCGCTGTGACTAACATTTGCTCAGACAAAACGGGGACCCTCACCCAGGGGCGCATGGTCGCCAAGCGGGCTTGGATTCCCTCTGTTGGCACCTACTCGGTGGGGTCTTCTAATAACCCCTTGAACCCGGAAGAGGGCGACCTGAGCCTACTGCCTGACCCGCCGGTCAAAGTTGGTCCTGACGCTCAGGGAGAGCCTTCCAGGCCGGACGATCTGCTCAAGGACAATCCTCTTCTGGAGCAATATCTGAACGTGGCAGCGATGGCCAACCTGGCCCATGTGCACAAGTCCGAGCACAATGAATGGCAGGCTCGTGGTGAACCGACTGATATTGCGATTCAGGTATTTGCCTCTCGCTTCAACTGGGGACGCGATCGCTGGACCAAAGGCGAGAAGCCTGTTTGGCGCCAAAAAGCTGAATATCCGTTTGATTCCACCGTGAAGAAGATGTCCGTCATCTTCAAGGATAGCAACGACGACCGGGAGATGATCTTCACCAAGGGGGCGGTGGAACGGGTCCTCGAGGCTTGCACCACCGTCACCTGGGCAGCTGGTTCCGACCCGATCGCCTTGGACGAGAACATCAAGGAGGAAATCTTGCAGAACATGGAAGCTCTCGCAAAGGAGGGCTTGCGGGTTCTCTGCCTCGCCTGCCGGGAGAATCGCCATCCCGTCAAAGGAGAAGATGTCCCTGCTCGTGAAGAAGTGGAGAAAGATCTCACATTCTGTGGACTCATCGGTCTGTATGACCCTCCCCGGCCTGAGACTGCCGGCGCTATCGACGAGTGCTATCGCGCTGGGATCTCGGTCCACATGGTCACTGGTGACCACCCCGGTACTGCGCGAGCCATTGCAGCGCAGGTTGGCATCATTCCAGCGAACATGGATAGCCTTGCCAAAGATGTTGCGGACGCCATGGTGATGACTGCCAGTCAGTTTGACAAGTTGACAGATGAGGAAATCGATGCGTTGCCTACTCTTCCTGCTGTGATTGCTCGGTGCGCTCCCCACACAAAGGTTCGGATGATTGATGCCCTCCATCGTCGGGGTCGGTTTGCGGCAATGACCGGTGATGGAGTCAATGACTCCCCATCGTTGAAGCGGGCAGATGTTGGAATTGCTATGGGACAATCGGGATCTGATGTGGCCAAGGATGCATCGGAACTGGTGTTGACTGATGATAACTTTGCTTCGATCATCAACGGAATTGAGGAGGGTCGTCGTATTTTTGATAATATTCAGAAATTCGTCTTGCATCTTTTGGCGGAAAACGTCGGCCTGGCCCTCACGCTTCTGATCGGTCTCTGCTTCAAGGATGACAACGGGCAGTCTGTGTTCCCTATTGCCCCTGTTGAAATTCTATGGATCATCATGATCACCTCCGGTCTCCCGGATATGGGACTGGGTATGGAAATCGCCGCTCCAGATATCATGGACCGTCCCCCTCAAAGCGTAAGTAACATCAGTCACTCTTTTGGGGTCATATATACTGACGGCAGCAGAAACAAGGTATTTTCACCTGGGAAGTCATAGTCGACACCGTCGTCTACGGCGTCTGGATGGCAGCTCTCTGTCTCGCCTCTTTCTCGCTCGTCCTCTTCGGCTGGGGAGATGGCAACCTGGCCTCAGGCTGCAACAGCGACTACAGCCCAGAGTGCGACGGCGTGTACCGCGCCCGAGCCACGACCTTCGTGTGCATGACCTGGTTCGCTCTCTTCCTCGCCTGGGAGATGATCGACATGCGCCGCAGCTTCTTCCGCATGCAGCCCGGTTCCAAGCGCTATTTCACCCAGTGGATGTTTGACGTCTGGCGGAACAAGTTTCTGTTTAGCGGCATCATGATCGGATTCATCACGACCTTCCCGATCCTGTACATCCCTGTGATTAATGACGTTGTTTTCAAACATGTCGGCATCTCCTGGGAGTGGGGAGTGGTGTTTGTTGAAGCGATTCTTTTCTTCGCTGGCTGCGAGGCCTGGAAGTGGTGCAAGCGCATCTATTTCAGACGGACCAGTCAAAAGGAAACTGGCAGAGATAGGATACTTCGGGACTTTAGTCGGTATACCACCATGAGCAGGTCCGAAACCCAAGCAACGAGTGATCTGAATGTGGAAAAGTCGATGGTTTAGATCTTGCAATGGGACCGGATAGCAGCAATTGGAAGTCAGCGAAGCTACTATGTGGCCTTGCATGGGTTTAATTGGTCGCCACTGGTTTGCATGAGCAAAATGTGCATAGTCATGAATAGAAGTGATTTTTTTCTCTGCAAATTCACTAGTAATTGACTTTATGACCACAGAACACTGGGGCTGCAGCCTGCCTATATAGGCCACATGGCATATGTGTTTGCTATTACTGCAAAGGGCAAGTACCACCACAATATAGTAGCATGTCCCTAAGATCCAAGACATCAACCAACTTTCAGAAGAAAGTGTTCCTTCTTCCAGACAGAGGACAGAGCCCGGATAACTTAGAGATGTGTTTAGGAGAGGTTAAGTTAGGTGGACATATCTCCTAAAAGGGTATTGGTACTGCATCACTCCAGTTGATATAGTATATCTTTGTGACTATACAATGGCAATTATTATCATATTTATGTTGATTCACTATAACTACATTATATGATTTCTGTATGTATACTTATCACTTTACCTAAGCATACTAGTAATTTAGTACATGTCACATGGGCTCCTTAATATTCACTCTCGTCCATTAATGTACACCATATACGTGTGCTATCTGGATATATATCCAATCACAACCCTTCCGCAACAACAGACAGGTCAACAACAACCAGATAAAATAATAGATTAGATAGTACTATCTATATAGCCCCATTAACAGCATAAATTTATATATGAAAATACTATGCTAGGAATGTTTCCACTAAATTTGACATAGTGGTTCTTCAGTGGTTGAGACTCGAGATTCTGAAAAAGCGCATATAAAAGGAATAGAATATAGATTACTTCCAATAAGGGCAAGATGGCCGAGTGGTTAAGGCGGTGAGTGTTCCCTGTGTCCTGTTTCTCTCTCAGCATCTCAGCTAATGATCAACCTAGTTACGTTTAGGCCGTAATGGGAAACCGCGTGGGTTCGAATCCCACTCTTGTCATTATCTTTTTTCTTTTCTTTTTTGCCTTTGCCGCCGACCCCTTTACGTGGCACTTAAGTTCTTAACAGAATCTAGCCTGGTCAGAGTAGGTAGTACTTATCAAATTGCGCCATTGGCCAATGACAAGGCTGCCGTCTCATGTGAGGACACAAGGACGACTGTTAGCCTGTTCCAACTCCAAACAGCACCTTACGCCATCCTGCGGGGCCTACATTCCTATCACCAGCTGCTTGCCCACCCCATCCCTAGAAAGATACAGTGGGTGATTATCGAACTGACCGCATGCTCATTGCCCATCATAGTCTGAGCATATTATTTATCATAATCAGCACAGTTGATCCAGCCTCTCAGTTGGTCGACCATCCAGTATGGCTCACACACCCAGACAAGAGAGGGTTTCGAACCCACGGGGTTTCCCATTACGGCCTTGACCTTGGAAGCATGCACCGCCTCAAACAACAAGGTACTGTATCTATTTCAAGCATTCAGAAGCCCAGGCCCAAGCCCAGCCCAAGCGGCACAGCATTCCGCATCCGAGCTAGACTGGGGTAGGGCCATCAGATCCCTGCTAAGCGCCGAACTATAGGGCATGTCGGTAACCCACACTACCCTACTACTATCACGCGAGTCGTAACTTGCAGATAGCGCAGTTCTAGCCCTGGTAGGCGTGTCGCACTTGTTCTGTTAATGGAATGGAGCGTCTGCCAGATGTAACCATACAAGCCACTATCTTCCTTGGAATGCTGGCACAAGGCTAACTGCCCAGGCGCTTAAGAATGTCGATGCCTGAATTATCAGTGGTCTGGCACGGCCAGATGAGCGATGTGGCTTCACCATGGCCATGGCAATTGGCTGTTTCATCTCAGTGAACAGGGTTTCATACTTGGCTGCCTTGGTGCCTTTCCCCGTGAGGTTAATCATCCTTGGTTTGGATATTTTCAGACGCATAGCATGTGTGGCACAGTCAATGCAGTTCTGCCAGTGGCTGTGTCGCCATGATCGTGACGGTGGATAGAGGCTGTTGGTTGCTGAAGGTGTACAGGGGAAATGGCATATAAGGGCTGAGATATCTGTGGTCGTCGTTGTCTTCAAGTCAACAGCACATTTCTCAGAATTGACATCACACCTCAGTGGCAGGTAATCATCACATTAGCAAGCACAATGTCCTATCCCGATCTATCTACCATCCTCGAAGTCTACCCTGAATGCGAGTACACCTGCTACGGGTACGCCCCATCCCAACGGCGCCGCTGCAGAATGCGAACAAGGAAAGACAACCGAGACAGGGCTTCCCGGCTCCTCAAAGAGGGCACCAGATTCCTCCAACACGACCTACCCGTCGACGGTCTGCTCATTGAGCTAGCCCCGCTAGTTCTCTGCAAACGCTTCCACCAATACCAGGCAGACGACCTGGTCCGCGACTGGCGGGCTAAGCTGCGGGCGTTCCAGCAGCAGACTCTTCTGGCTGCTATATCGAAATCCCTCCAAGAGCTTGTGGAGAGTCGGGCGCGTTCGCTTACTGCTGGGTCGGCGGGTCAGCGTTTCTCAGAAAGAGTTTTGAGTCTCCCACGGTTGGAGAGGTCGGCTGCTATTGTAACGGAGGAAGAAGGAGGAGATAGGGAGGACGAACCTGAGCCTCAACCTGAACCTCAACCTGAGCCTGGACTTTCTCCCAGCCGGACATCTACCGAGTCTTCGTCGCCAGCTGTCCCCAGTGGTGCCGCGGAGCCAACCGTCGCTCAGAGCGAGCCCAGAAGAACCACTCGCAAACCAATTGAAGGAGACTGTGATATCTGCATGTGTCCTCTACGAGAACAAGACAGTGATGAAGACGGCGAGGGATCAGATGACGGCGATGGTGAAAATGACAATAATGTGTCCGACACAGCGTCCGACAATGAACACGATGACAACGAAGAAGACAATATTGACGACCTTGTATACTGCAAAAATCAGTGCGGTAAGAATTACCACAAAGCCTGCATCGACGTGTGGCTTGCTACTCAGCGTGCATTTCGAACCCCACGCGGGGATCCTGTCTGCCCGTCCTGCCCCAACTGTCGAGCAGTGTGGTCATCCTGATTTCATCATTCTGCGGGGAGTCTTGGTGTTTGTCTATTTACTTTTGTGACCCCACTTCCTTCCTAAGTTATTATTATAATGAGTCAGATATTCCCTGTACAGTCATGCCTGGGGGGGGGGGGGGGATCATGAGTACGAAACGGCCTTTCTTTAGAAACCTATCAATAGCAGCTTGCTCGATTTGCAAATATAATCATCTCTATCAGTCATGAAAAGCTTGTAGCTGAGCTAAATGGATACATAGATGGTCGTTCTCCAATCGGTAATCCATTCCCACGCCTTGTTCTTGTCTCGACGATGATCACTTTGTGCATATGGTTCGGCGTATGTTGGTGACAGCAATGTTGGCCGCAAACTTCCTTCCGGCTTGGACATACAGTTCCCTCTCGGTACCAAAACCATCGCGCAGCGGGTACTAGTGGGTGAGGATATTCAACTCCGTTCCTGATAAGGATGATTTGCAGGGTTGGCCTCAGAAAGGTAAGACGCAATAATAGGAAGCGTCCAGTAACCTGCTAGTAACCTGCCAGCGGCTGCGCCATATTGAATTCAAGTTTGATGTTTTCGAAATAGAAGAATCGGCTTCTGTACGGAATTTTCAAGTGCTAAAGGCACAGTTAGACAGTGAAAGCTTAAGAAAAGGGGGACGGGGCAGAAGAAGAGATAAATACTCACATGGCTGAGCGCCTGCATCATCACTTGAGTAATCACATCAATAGCCACTGGGATGTCATTTATAATACTGATTTTGTTCAATGGGTATATCGAAGTCGAGTCTGTCAGTAGTAGCTGGTGCGGTAATCGATATCCTGATGTATCAACAACAAGAGAGCAGGAGGAAGAAGCAAGCAGGAGATCCAGGAGAGCTGGAAGACATCCGCTCATGTAGGCTCTTCTATCCCAACAGTACGAAGTGAATACATCTGGTCATCTATTCACTATGTCATCCATATAAGACTGTGGATGCAGTATACATGGGGTAATGTCTTACTTTTAGGTCCTAGTGAATGACAGCCATTTTATGAATGTGTGGATGAACTATAATACTTGTAGTGTTTCATCCTTACGTCCTCTCCTGCGACTTCTCTTCCACCGACTTATCCAACACTGAAGGAAGCTAATACATGCAGATTATTAAATAATGGCATATATCCCGAATATCTCCTGGCAATCACCATCACCATCACCGCCTTTTACCTTTCTTAAGGATGAACAACATGGCTGTAAGGTAAAGTGCAAAATCTTCAGGCTTAATGCTTAATGAAGGCAGTCTTTGTGCAATCAGAGACAGAGAGGGCAATCAGACAATCCCTCCATCAATAATCAAAAATCAATGAAAGAAAGGCTGCCACGGCAGCAAGCAGCAAACAGCAAGCAGAGAGCTGGGGCTTACATGGCGACCTGATTTCCAGAAATAATCAATCGCAAGCAGCCTCGACTCCTCTAGTACTGGACGATGATAACTTAAGGTACAAGCCGTACAGTACTCGACGAACCGAACCGTTGGCGAAGAAAGTAACGAGCTCTGACCGCAACATGGCATACCAGTTCGGACGATCGAGAGCGGTCGATATCAATACCAATACCGATACCTATCTAGCTGCAAATGCCTGGGGAGAGAGTGGACAAGAGGCGCCGCATGGCGGGAATCTTCCGATGACTGCTACCTATTGATGCTGAATTTCAAGGTGGTGATAACTAGACAAGAGGCGTCATTACGGCAGCTATCCATGCAAAGATAGTTAACCTTAGGCGGCTCAGCAGAGTCAGGAGGAAATCTGGGGACGTCAAGGGTTATTTGGAACAAGGGCATAAAGAAAGGACTTTGGGCTTGGAATGTAAGTAAGTAATAGATGGCTGATGAGTTTATTTTTTTGGATATGTCTAGACTGGAAAGGTCATAGTATGGACATGATTTTACGGCTTCGTTTTCTGAAGTTGAAAATTAGCAAGTGTAGACGAAACCATCATGCCAGGCGGAATGGATTATGTCTGGATGCAGTGCGAAAAGACATACAGGCTTGATATCGTTGATCATTCATATGTATGTATATATATGATACTAGGTCTACGAGCTAGCTGCGGCCGGCGCAGCGGATACACTATCGTGGGCAGCAGGGGCAGGGGCGCCTCAACGGCAGGTTGCGTGGAGCCCTCCTTCTCAAAGCTCCGCATGGGATAGAAACCCCAGCGCTCAAACATCTCGCGGTCCTCATCCCAGCCATTGCAATCCGTCGTCAACATCTTCTCGCCGGTGAAGACGGCGTTGGCACCGGCCATGAAGCAGGCGACCTGCTGTTCCTCCGACAGCGAGATGCGGCCCGCGGCGAGACGGACAATGGTGGCCGGCAGGACGATACGAGCGGTGGCAATGGTGCGCAGCAGCTTGTCGAAGGGGATCATCTTGCGGTCGCCGAGCGGGGTGCCCTTGATGGGAACGAGGGCGTTGACGGGGAACGATTCGGGGTGAGAGGGAAGGTTGGCGACGGTGTGGATGAGGCCGATGCGGTCGGAGTCGGCCTCGCCGAGGCCCAGGATGCCGCCGGAGCAGACGTTGATGCCGGCGTCGCGGACGTGCGACAGGGTCTGCAGGCGCTCGTCGTAGGAGCGGGTGGTGATGATGGACGGGTAGAACTCGCGCGAGGTGTCGAGGTTGTGGTTGTAGGCGGTCAGGCCGGCGTCCTTGAGCTCCTTGGCCTGGTTCTCGTCGATCATGCCCAGGGTCACGCAGACCTCCATACCCATGGCGCGCACGCCCGAGACCATCTCCTTGATGTTTTTGAGGCTTGTCTTGCGGCCGCGCATGTCGCGCCAGGCGGCGCCCATGCAGAACCGGGTGCTGCCGTTGTCCTTGGCGATGCGGGCAGCCTTGAGCACTTCGTCGACGGGGCTCATCTTGGTGGCTTTGAGGCCGGTGCTGTACCGGGAGGACTGCGCGCAGTACGAGCAGTCTTCGCTGCAGCCGCCGGTCTTGATGTTCATCAGCGTACACATCTGGATGGCGGCGGGGTCATGGAAGCGGCGGTGGACGGCGGCCTGTCAGACAGATCAGTATGCATCAAAAATAATGAGGTGAGATCGACCTACCGCAGCATAAGTCAATTGGCTCAGAGGAGTCTCATAAATCTGTTGGACCTCTTCCCGAGACCAGTTGGTGCGCGGGGCCGTGGCGGCGGTTGCTTCTTGGAGGGCGGGAGCAATGCGGTTGGCTGTAAGTGATGCAGCACTGGGAGGAGCTTGGACTGTGCCATAAGATCTCCTCAGAAGGGCCCTGTGCAGGGACCGCGATAGAGATAGCGACATGCTGTTTGTGGTGTGGTGTGGTGGTGGTGAAGAACGGATAGGAAATTGCGCAAGGGAGAGCGATAATAATCGTCAATACAGAGGCTAATACAGAGGCTAATTGATCAGACTAGCATTCTGGACTGAACCTCGGGAGTTTGGACAAGGGAGAGAGGGGCAGTACACGTAGTTGGGAGGGAGAATCCGTCTATCTTAGTGCTTCACCGGAATGAGGAAGAAGAGTGTGGGGAGGGGGTTGGAGAAAAAGGGTCCAATAAGGTTACTGCTAATTGGCATCAACAATTGCAGAAAGAATTCAGAAAGTCAATTGATTAATATTGCAAAGTCATAACTTAATTGTAGGTACGAAATTGGATTATGAAATAGATGAGTCACTATTCTCCGGAATTGTACAGTTCTTGTTGACCCCAACCGCATCTGTCGATGGTTGAATTCAGAGCGCGGATACAGAACTGATGATGTATTGTGATCCACATTGCAATTCAATACTACATCCATCCATCCATTCATTCATTCTTTCATATTCTCTGTTTACCATCATCGTAATTGAAAGTACGTACACAATGTTTGATGATGTAGATCCTCCAGCGTTGAGTGTCTTTCGTTCCTGATTCTGGCGGGAAAAGGCTCCGCTGTCCCTGGCTCTGACTTCTGGATAGACCAATTGGATCGACTGGTCGGACAACCGGAACCGGCAGTTATCTTTTGACTGATGCAAATCAATTTGATAATATCTTAGCGTATTCCATACTGATAGTTGATTGGTGATAGACATTCCCCTCTGTCGGGCCGTTCGGTGAGGGGATCGCCAGAGCAAGAGAATCTGCAGGTTTCCATCTCATATTCTTGGTTCGAAATTAGCTGGTTTCGATTCTAGAATCCATGGTCTGCGAATTCGGACCATCGTTTTCCGCGGATCGCTCTCACAACCTAGTCTATCCTTGGTAGTTGGTACCTTATCTACGGAGCATATGGAGTACGTTGAATTTCATCATTCGTCACTTAATCTATTTGCTGATGCATCAAAGCAACGCCGACCGGAGCAGTGCCTCCAACCCCCGCACAGTCTCGGGTTTCGACGTGACGCTCGACATGAGGTAGAGCACATTTCCCAGCACTCTTGAATGGACGTTAAACTTTGGCCCGCCCGCCGATAATCTCTGCTGCAGGCCCTTGGCTGCGGTGGAGGTATAGCCTAGAGTAGTGGAGACGACGTCACATGTTAGCCGGCTAGAATCGGTCGAAATAATCTCATGCAGAGAGGACGAGACTTACCTCCGCCTTGGGCGTCTCTCAGTGAGATACTGAGTACGGTGCCGAGAGCGAAAACGCTCTCGACCGACTCGGCGTATGACAGGTCACGCAGCAGATCGCGGGACCACACCGACCAGGCCTCCGGGGAATTATCTTCCCCAGACACATCAACTGCTTTCCAGTCATTGCGGTACGCGTTCCATGACCCACTGCTTTCCATCTTCGTCATGGTTCGCAGGGAATCCACTGCGACCGTGCAGCCGACGGCGTGCGCGGTATAACTGTGTCCGTGCAACAGGGCATCGCTCTTTTCGGGACTGGAGAATGCTTGGAAAATCTCATCGCTCGCAAGTGTGGTGCAAAGAGGTAGAAGACCACCTGTCAGGAGTTTCGCGTTCACGGCGATGTCAGGATGGACATTCAGGAAGGAGGCCGCTGACTTGCGTCCGAGACGGTAGAGTCCAGTGAAAACCTCGTCGAAGATGATCGGGAGACCTGACCAGGATGTCTCCGATCCTAGGCTGTTTGTATCTGTAGCGTTGGCCGTGAAGAGCTCTGGATGACTGCGGACCACGTCTGCGAGGCATCGTTGGAATAGGGGATCACAGAAGAGCATTCCACCGGCTCCGAGAATGATAGGCTCCATGATGAGAGAACCGAACTTCATTCCTTGCCTGTGGACCAGGTCTTCAATCGTAGTGCGTATGAAATCTCTGTAGCGTTGTCCCGCTTCCGATTTGACACGGCTCTCCAAATCAAATACCGAGTTCAACGAGGAAAACTCGAGATCCTCGCCCAAGGAGTTTCGCAGCTCTTTAGGAATCTCAATCTTCCAAGTTCCCTGGGACATTTTCACCAAGGGAAAATCGAACCAGTAGCCGCGACCGCGGTACCACTCGACCTTCTGGTTATAAGTCGACGGCTCCGAGCAATCCATGACCCCGATCGTGTCGCCATGGTAGCTTCCCTTGAGGCCAAGAATACTGATCTGTTCCTTGCTGGCGTCGAAACCGTAGCGATGGCATGCCGCACGAAGACCCATCTTCACAGCCACTTCCATCCCCGTGCTTCCATTATCGGTGTAGAAGACCTTCTGGAGCCGAGGGTTTCCGAGAGTGTCTTTCAGGAGCTCTGCGAGCGATAGCGCGGGCTCGTGAACATTCCCCGCAAACATGACATGTCCATATCGTCCAGCTGCGTACGCAGCCGACAAGGCAAGCTCCGGGTTGCCATGTCCAAGACCTTGAGTCCACCACGACGCTGAGCCGTCAAACGTTGGTTGCAAACTACCCTGATCTGCGCTGCCACCCGACTCCAAAGTTTGGAAGTAATCGTCATGTGCAGAGTCGATCACAGTGATATCCTTGACCGTCATGCCATGGTGCTGCGTAAAGGGGTACCATATCGTATCATGAGCCCGACTAGCCATTGACTCTAGACGATCGATTCTCTCGGCATTTCTCGCCGCTAGTTCATCCAATAGACCTTGGACGTCTGATTCCTGCGCGACTTGCTGATAGTAGCCTGCCATGGCCTCCTCGTCCTGCGCCAGGGACGCGGCATCCTGCGACTGTGGGCGTTTGGGGGTTGTGGCAGTGGTACAAGGGGAATGCTCCTATTGCGGAAGTAGTCACCCAAGTACTCATGGTTCTTGTAGTAATCGTCGCGGAACAGGAGCACTGAATTGACATCGTAACCGCGAAGCAGTAGTGATTCGTAGGCGGAAATGGAAGACGAGATGCCCCCAAGTCGCGAATCTGCGACAAGAACCACCGGCAAACGAAGGGGCCGGTAAAGATCTGCCTGCGAGTTACCATTCGGCCCAGGCGAATGGACTCCGCCGGCAGTCTCTACGAGAGCGAAACTGACTCCAGTGCGGGCCCATTCGGAGAGTGTCTTATGCACGGAACCGAGGATATCATCGTCCCGAGGGATCTATCTTATTAGCTTGTTTCGGAGCAGCAATTCCTTGTCAAACATACCACGAAGTTTTTCTGTCGAGCAGCGATATGCGGGCTCACCGGCTCATCAAATTGATACAAACATTTGGTCAATGCACCTGCCGCATGACGTTGGATGTGTCTGTCATCTGCCTCGTCCAATGGCCCTGTAGAGACTGGCTTCAGGAATGCCGCCTTTTCAGCCTTGCGACGTTGTACCGCATTACATAGAATGGTAGACACAATGGTTTTGCCTACGTCCGTGTTGGCGCCGTAGACTTGGTGGGCACGCAGAGTGCGCCACAAGGCCGCTCGAACCGGAGGCATCAGATAATCGGATGTTGTGACCTGTACAGCGATATCTCACTATTCAAAGTAGAGATGTGAGTGATATCGATGATAGCCGCATAGCCGACTATAAGCAGGGCAATCTAATCTCGGTGAATCATATCATCTTTCCAAGGATCCATAATAATACTCGGCTGTTATTATAACTTATTACTTAGGTGGCCGAGGGCCCGAGGCATCCATCAGGCGCTAAGGCTAATCCGGTTACCTGCCAGCCCACTAGGCACAAAGGCAGCAAGGCACCAGGGAATGTCCCACCAATACCAACTGTTTCTGCTGTTGGGGACCAACAGTTGGTCCTGGTCCCTGGCAGCACAGTTCGTTTGTCCAAACTAGTGCTGGCTTTTGTGAAGCAATGACCACAATCTAATATTATTGTATTTTCTATTACTATTACTATTACTATTATTATTTTTATCAAAATGTGTCGGTGTCACACTGCCAACAAGGCATGAATGCTAAAAGTACCAATAGGCGATCCACCACAACAATGCTGTTAATCGCCAATTCCGGGCTCCACTCCAGAGTGTTGGATTTGGACGGTCATGTCCTTATTTCCTTAGTCTATCTGTCTACCCCAGATCATCTGTCCCTTGTGTCACTGTGTGACTGCGTTTTCCGGTAATCTGTCAGTGACAAGTCTACCATTGCCTGTCACAATGGATAGTTCCCCTCCCAAGTCCCTCCGGGAGTCACTGCGTCAAGCACTCCTTCGCAGAGAAGCCAAGTCCTCTCGTCGACGGTTGACCGTGCTACCTCAGTCCTCAGTAGATTTTTCCTCGAATGATTTTCTATCGCTGTCGACATCTCCAGTCTTTCGAGAACGCTTTCTAGACCTCCTCCACCAAGCTCCCCGCTGTACCCATTCGCCAGCGGAGGGTCGCGTCTATTGGACGGCAACTCAACATACGCAGAGGAAGTCGAAAATTTCATTGCAGACTTCCACAGCGCTCCCAGCGGTCTCTTATTCAACTCCGGCTTCGACGCCAACGTCGGTGTCTTCTCCTGCATCCCCCAGCCAGGAGACCTGATCGTGTACGATGAACTCATCCATGCAAGCGCGCGCGAGGGTATGCGGTTATCGAGAGCTGGCAAGCGGTTGCCGTTCTCGCACAGCTCCCCCAGCAGCCTGGATGAAGTCCTCCAGTCGCATATTGCCGACGACCCTCTGATCCAGACGGGCTCGCGCAACGTCTTTATCGCCATCGAGTCCATCTACAGCATGGACGGCGACATTGCGCCGATCCAGGACTTTATCCGGGTCGTTGATCGGCTTCTCCCCCGAGGCAATGGCTACTTTATCGTCGACGAGGCGCACGCCACAGGCGTGTTTGGGCCGCGCGGTGCGGGCGTTGTACAGGGCCTAGGCGTCGAGAAGCGCATGTTCATCCGGGTGCATACGTTCGGCAAAGCGCTTGCAAGTCACGGTGGTAAAGTTTTTCCCCTTCATTCTGCATGGGTACGGAAACTAAAGTAGATAGCAATTGTGCTCTGTTGCCCCGACACAAGAGACTACCTGATCAACTACGCGCGAAGCCTGATCTACACCACTGCCATGGGATTCCCCTTCCTTGCGTCCATACGCGCTGCGTACGAGCTCCTGGCTGAGGGGGAGACGGAGCAGCATCAGACCAAACTGCAGCAGCTGGTCGCGTACTTCCGGGACCGCCTCGCGGAATTGGACGCCTTGGACCCCGCGGCCTTCCAGGTGGATCATTTCCCGACTTCGCCCATCTTCTCCGTGCGTAGCCGCTTCCCGCGCCAGTTGGCCGCGGCCTGTCAGCAGAAGGGGTTTGTGGTCCGCGCTATTATGGCGCCTACTGTTCCGGCGGGGAGAGAGCGGGTGAGGGTTTGCCTTCATGCTGGTAATACGGTGGAGGAAATTGATGGGTTGGTTGATACATTTAAGGTTTGGCTGGGCCAGACGACGGAGAAGAAGGTTGCTAGGTTATGACATGCTGAATATAACTAGCCAGTATAGAAAAATGCAGTATTAGAGATCAAGGAAACTAAGAAGGATCCAGTCGCCATAGATGTGTCTGGAGCTGCTAGGCTCCAATTTATGTCATAGATATAAGGCTAAGTAAGACTGTCAGTCCTTCCACTGAAATAGCACCCAGAACTATTGCAATAGTAGGTATAGAAGGTGTGGCTGCTAGTTTGATGGTAGTTATAGGAGGGGATTAGGTATTTTCGAGTTGTCTGAATCCTCATGCTCACTGTCTCATGGTAAATCTGAGAGCTCCTCGGTTATAACTTCACCCCTTGATTCTCATGTATTCAATCTAGCTAGCTAGCAAGGCTGCGCATTTATTTAATCTAGCTGACACACATGTCAACCCTAGCATGTCGTGCACTCGCATCCCATAGAACACGAGTATCAAGAGGTTGACAAAATAAGCAATTGGGCCTCGCAAGACATGAGCAGACAGACTCATCGTCGGGGATAGGGTATGGTTCCTGCGTGGAAAGCGTCAGAGACCGACGAACATCTAGTGGAGCAGTCATACCAGCAAGATGAGATGGAGCTGTGGCTTTGGGACCTTTCTAGGCATCCGGGTGACCACCAGGATATGAAGATAGCCATGACTGTGTATTCCTGTGAATTTACACTGTTTATCCCAGAGAACTACCCCAATGAAGTTGTTGCAGGCATTTTTCTCCTAGACCGCTTTTATAATAGCCTAGTTAATTGATTTGGCACAGTAGATCAGAAAACGAGATAGCATGACAGTCTGCGAGCCAGTCAGACAGGTCCAGAGACAGTGTTTATCTCTGTGGTAGCTCAGGACACAATGGACTTGATATGCAAGATGCTTTTTGGATAGAGATCGCGTGTAGCTACCAACGTAGCATGATATTATTTCAAGTATCGACTAGCTGCTTTACAAGCAGTCTGGAATTCCATACCCATATAATCAAATTGGGCTACAAACGCGAGGTAGGCGCAACGGGTCTGTATACCGTCGTCACCTGCTGCTACTTCTTCCTCGAACCGGATCCAAATCATCACAACACCATCACAACAACACAGATTCCCTCCGGTTGTTGTCTCAACTAAAACCATGGCTGTAAGTACAATTTACAATGCACAGGATACTACTGAAGAAGATAGTCTTGTAGCTCTTGCTACAAGCTCACCTGTCCCGGCGCCGAGAGCTGCCAGACGCTGTACGAGATCTCGGATTTGGTGGTCGCTTACGCGCAGGCGCGTTATCTCGCTCTCCGTCTGAGGAATCTACAGGCAGAATACTGATAGATACTGATGGATCATGATATAGCAGTCCGAGCCGACCTCTCCGCCACTCGACGCCCGACCCCCGCTCCTACCATCCAGATCCCAACCGAGCAAGCTGCCCTCGCCGCGAGCGACAGCGACAGCGATGACAAGATCAACTGGAAAAGCAAGCTGGCCATCGAAGCGACTGAGTGCGTTTTCCGTGGCGTCCATCTCTCTGCTCCGCCCTTCCCGTTTAGACAACGCTGGGATGCAAATGCTCGTCATGAGATAGGCGAGAGAAAGAACAGAGGCAGAAAGCGCAAGAGAAGAGAGTATGAAGAGTACGACGACGAGGAGTACGACTACTTTAATAACGAGGACTTTCAGAAGATGTACGATACCATTGCTGCTACTCTTGCTACTGTTGCTGCGGCGCATACCACTGCTCATCCGACGAAGCGGCGGAAGAAGGCGATGAAAAAGAAGAAGCAGGGTGGTGCTGCTGGTGGTGATGGTGCTGCTGCTCCTGCAGGCAGCTCAGTTTGAAGAATGATATTGAAGAGTGGTGTATGAGTGAATGATTGATGAAATATGATTTATCATCCTGGATGGCGAGTTGCCGTCGGAGCTTACTTCCCCGCATTCTTGTTCTTCAAGACAAGAACTGGTTAAATTCTTTTGCCAAAGGATAATCACCAATGAGACGAATGGTTATCATCCCTGACTGGCCTAGTATGTTATGTGTCCGTCAGAGCCGAACCAGTAAACTGACTCGCGAGACCGAGAGTTAAATGCCAGATGCGGAGAAGTCGATGATGAACCGAGGAATAGACCGACAGCTCGGCAACGGCAATAGCTGTCTCAACTATTAGACAACATTCACTGCTTGCATTCATTTTTACTATTTCTTGCTTTGATAACGTTTACACGACCGAATTACTGGGTTTACATCTGTCACTACTCGCACGATGAGTCTAGGTACGTCTACACTCATTGAGCCATTGACATCCAGAGCCTGGCTAATCGAATACTGTAGGCGTCGCAGCAGCCGCAGTAGCAGGAGGTGCTACGCTGGCGGCGTATCTAAACGCCAAGTTCCACCTCGTCAAAGACATCTCGACTTTGTACGTCGCATGGAAAAGTACGCGTTCCTTTGAACAAGCTGGTATGGTGCCCTCCCTCGTACCTGCAAAATCACGCTGACGAGAACCAGCCGCCAAGGGCCTTGGAAATGTCTGGTTTGTATTCCTTGAAACAGCAAAGAAGTACCCGGATATGGTGTGCATGTGGACACGGGAGGGAATCTATACCTACCGGGACGTCCAGAACCTCGCTTGCCAATATGCACACTACTTTCTTTCCAAAGGTGTCAAGCAAGGGGACCTGGTGGCATTCTATCTGCAGAACCGGGCCGAGTTTATGATCGCGTGGCTTGCTCTCTGCAGTATTGGATGTGCGCCCGCTGCGATCAACTACAATCTGACCGGGGATGCGCTGGTGCATTGCCTCAAGATCAGTGGAGCCAAGCTTGTCCTGGTGGATGACGATGAAGCATGTCGCGCGCGCATCGAGGATAGCAGAGCAGCTATTGAAGGCCAACTCGGCATGGAACTTATCTACCTTGACCACTCCTTCGCCTCGCAAGTATCCACCATTCCCACCACGAAGCCACCGAAGGAGCTCGCAAAGAATATGTCGGGCGAGTATCCAGCCATCCTACTGTACACGTCCGGCACCACCGGCATGCCCAAGGGCTGCGCATTCACCATGGCACGACTGTACAGCACGCTCGCTCTGCGTCGCGGATCAATGGAGGACACTGACGGTCCCGGTGGGGACATCTGGTACAGCTGCATGCCCCTGTACCACGGCACATCGGCGATCGCCATGATGGTCTGCCTCACCACAGGCGTCAGCATTGCCCTAGGCAAGAAGTTCAGCGTGCGCAACTTCTGGCGCGATATCCGAGACTCCCACGCCACGATCTTCGTGTACGTCGGCGAAGTCGCGCGGTACCTGCTGGCCGCACCGCCCTCGCCGGACGACCGCAACCACCACGTTCGCTGCATGTATGGCAACGGACTGCGACCAGACATCTGGGAGAAATTCCGGGAAAGGTTCGGGATCAGTGCCGTCGGCGAGTTCTTCAACAGCACCGAGGGGCTTTTCGGGCTGTTCAATCTCAACAAGGGCCCGTTTACGGCAGGGAGTGTCGGCCACCACGGACTGCTCATGCGAGCTGTCATGCACAACACGTTTGTGCCTGTGGAGATCGATCCCACCACCGGCGATGTGCTGCGCGATCCCAAGACGGGGTTTGCCATCCGGGCCCCGTACGACAAAGGCGGCGAGATTATCGTCAATGTTCCCAGCGAGCAAGCATTCCAAGGCTACTGGCGCAACGAAAGCGCCACATCGAAGAAATTCCTGCGCGACGTCTTCAAAAAGGGCGATCTGTGGTACCGCTCCGGCGATGCGCTACGCCGCCAGAGCGACGGCCGCTGGTACTTTCTCGATCGGCTGGGCGATACCTTTCGATGGAAATCCGAGAATGTGTAAGCTGTCCCTTCTCCCCCTTAGAAATAAAGTCAAAATTACTAATGGACGCAGTGCAACCGCTGAGGTGGCCGAAATCCTAGGCCAATACCCCGGCATCCAAGAAGCCAACGTCTACGGCGTTCTGGTCCCTAACCACGAAGGCCGCGCCGGCTGCGCAGCGCTCCAGCTCAGTCCCGAGGCACGAGACGCATTCGACTTTCGCGGTCTGGCTGCTTTTGCGCGTGCAAGACTGCCCCGGTACGCTGTTCCGGTGTTTCTGCGGATCGTGGAGACGTCGGCGCATATCCACAACCACAAGCAGAACAAGGTGCCCTTGCGCGAAGAGGGGGTCGACCCGGTTAAGATTGGGAGTAAAGTGCCTGAGGGGCGGGACGATAAGTTTTATTGGCTTGCGCCGGGGGCAGATGGATATGTTGAGTTTGGGAAGAGGGAGTGGGAGACGCTGGTGGGAGGTGCTCGTTTGTAGTCTGGATCTAGATACTGGATAGAAGTATCAAGTATGCAAGATAATATACATTGTGTTATGTAGATAAGGAGTGGATTGGGTAGCTGTGCGTCAAGGGATGAATATGCATATTACTGCGGATGGAATGGAGATGCCGAGGATACTTGATAAAAATAATAATGGAAAGCTGACTATCAGCGAGACAAAATCCCTCAACTATATTTCAAGGAACAATTTCGACTGATTAGTCTACGGAGTAATACTCAAGCATCTCCACCGACTAAGGAATTAGCATCGGATTAACTCCTGTCCAGCCCACGCGGTGGCTTCTAGCGTCGGATGGCACAGGTTAGTGACCGGTGGGACGGATGCTGAGGGAATGAACTAATAAATCAAGAGATCCCTCGTCTGTCGTCCATCCTCGTCGAGACGTCAACTGCTTCACGGGTGATACACCGATAAGATGTTCCCCACTACGACCCATGGCTGGTCGGTTCTGACCGGCCTCCTGGCTTTGTCTTCTACGGCATCTGCCTCCAACACTTCCCAAACAAACTGTCGATGCTTCCCCGGAGAAGCATGCTGGCCTTCCCCAAGGTCTGGTCTGCTTTCAACCAGACGATTGACGGCCGACTGGTTGCTACGATCCCGCTGGGAACTCCCTGCCATGCGCCCAACTATGATGCTGCCACATGCGAGGCTCTAAAGGCCCAATGGCAGCTTCCTGAGCTGCAGTACGTAATGTCCTCTTCTTCTTTTGTGATCCAGAACTGATAAAAGCAGCTATGAATCCTCCTCGTCGATCATGGCCCCTTCTTCACCAATGGCACCTGCGACCCGTTCCACCCCGTCTCCAAGCCCTGCACACTGGGCAACTACGTCGTTTACGCGGTCAACGTGGGCAAGCCTGAGCATATCTCCAAGGCGGTGCAGTTCGCCACGAAACACAACATCCGCGTGGTCGTCCGCAACACCGGCCACGACTACAACGGCAAGTCCACCGGGGCCGGCGCCCTGGGGATCTGGACGCACCACCTCAAAGACATCGAGATCAAGGACTGGTCCGACACGCACTACAAGGGCAAGGCGATCAAGCTGGGCGCCGGCGTGCAAGGCATCGAGGCGTACCGGGCCGCCGACGCGCAGGGGCTCGAGGTCGTCGGCGGCGAGTGTCCGACCGTCGGTCTGGCCGGCGGCTACACCCAAGGCGGCGGGCACTCGGCGCTGGCGTCGCGGCACGGACTGGCGGCCGACCAGGTGCTCGAGTGGGAGGTGATTGACGGGCAGGGCAACTTCATCGTGGCCAACCGCGACAACGAGTATGCGGACCTGTACTGGGCGCTGAGCGGCGGCGGCGGCGGCACCTACGGGGTGGTCTGGTCGATGACGTCCAAGGCGCACACGGGGACGCCGGCCTCGGGGCTGAACCTGACTTTTACCAACGCTGGCATCTCGCAGGATACGTTCTACGAGGCGGTTGCGCTGTACCATTCGACGCTGCCGGCGATCGTCGACGCCGGCGCCATGAGTGTCTGGTATTTTACCAACACTAGCTTCTCCATCTCGCCGCTGACGGGGCCGAACATTCCTGTGGCCACGCTGCAGGAGCTGGTTAAGCCGTTTACTGACGGGCTGACCAAGCTGGGGATCAAGTATACCACCTACGCAGCGCAGTTCGACAGCTACCTGGCGGAATTCGAGGCCATGCAGAGCCCCATCGAGGTCGGCATCGCGCAGTACGGTGGCTGGCTGATCCCGCGGTCAGTCGTGCAGACCAACAACGCCGATCTGACGGCCGCATACCGGGCCATCACGTCCGACGGCGCCACCTTCATCGGCGTGGGAGTCAACGTCTCGACCGCGGTCACCGGCGACGTCTACAACGCGGTGCTGCCCGCCTGGCGCGACACGCTGATCGACACCGTCATCACGACTCCTTGGAACTGGACCGCTCCGACGGCCGACATGATCGCGCTGCAGCATAAGATGACGGACGAGTACATTCCCCGGCTGGAGGCGTTGGCGCCGAAGTCCGGGGCGTATCTCAACGAGGCGGATTTCCGGCAGCCCGATTTCAAGACGGCGTTTTATGGCAAAAACTATCAGAAACTGCGGGCCGTCAAGGCCAAGTATGATCCGCAGAGTATGTTTTATGGGACTACGGCTGTGGGGTCGGACGAGTGGACCGTCAGGTCGGATGGACACTTGTGCAAGGCCAAGCCATAGCCAGTGTACGGCAGTCGAACAGTGTATATATGTATGTATGTATGTATGTAAGTAGATATACTCCACCTAGACTATTCAGCAGATAAGTAACGCGAGTAACGTGATCGGGATTTGGTGTGCCACTAGCCTACCTATTAATTACTATGAGAAGACTATTAGCTCGCTTAGAGTAGAGTTCTCACTTGATTCACTAGGTCAGGTGATTGAGCTAATCTAAGACTAGGGTAACTGGATAGGTTCACTCCGCATCATTAATAGGATCAATGATTTCAACACCACGAGGAAGTCTATCTATATCCGTGCTCGCAGTTGCATTCATCAAGCTGAAACTGTATCATCGTCTACCGATATTAAGGCATGAGTCCAGAGTCTAGACGATCGGCAATTATCCATCCATCTATTAGACAGCAGGGAACCTGGCAACTGTGGACAGAGGAGATGGTTCTCTACTGGGTCTGCTTCGTTACTGGTCAGGTACAATATAAACCTGCAATCCACCGCGGGATCGATGCGCCCAATGAACACTGAACAAGGGACTAAGTTGGGCCCTAGTTTGGGGGCCACGAACAGGGATGTTCCCGGTGGCGGAAGCTTAATAAATGAATCACCTGCCTTTTTGCTTCCGCGATTCCCGGTGTTTTGCCCTTTTGGGTTGGTTGAAGTTCTCAAGCGAGCTGCCTATTTAGTCTAGTACCTAGTAGTTACTTTACCCTGCTTACTGCAATAACTTAGGTACTAAGGGAGGTAGTATGGGTGTCTACAGTATCTATGGAGTGACACTGACAAGATCGCAGCCAAGATAACATGAAATGATGAACCATGGTTTCATCAGCTTTGGGTAGAAGATCAGCAGTTCTCCTTCTCCACTTATGCTACTATAACATTCTGGTGCAGGATACATGTGCATAGACAAGGGATTATTGTCCGTCGGGCTGGAATAGTGGGAAAAAAAATTATCCTACTGACGGACTGACTGTACTCCGTAGTCCGAACTCCAGTCCGTAACTGAGACAGTCTCGGTCTTTCGGTCTATTTGCCAAGTCGAGGAGATGATTCGTCGGAGAAGTGGCCGGGAAAGGCTGGTCTTCCATTGTTCCACGGCGTGTTCCTTGATCCTGTGCCGATCTTCCTCACTATTAGTAAGTTCTATTCCCAGTCCAGCAGGAGATAAGCAGAGAAGAATAGTCAGAGAAACAGGTGGAGATCTGTCCAGATTCAGTGGACATCCTCACTCTGAATATCGATCTACTACGTAAATCCCACAAACTTAATTGTACCTGAGTAAGTATCCGGCTAAAGTAGAAAATAGTCAAAACCTCCAGTTCATGCGCGTCTGTTGTTGCGGTCAATAGCTTCGTATCTCCATATTCAGTCGAACAACCTTGGTGAGATGCTTCCCTAGCAAGCCATGGGTTGGGTGTACAATCTCAAAACCCCCGATCCTCACAGCCAGGTCCCCCGCGTTATTGCCATCTGCCTGGTTTTCCCCATTGTTGCCTTTCTTGCCGTTCTTTTGCGACTGTACGTGCGCATCCACACCAAGCGCGCTGGATGGGTCGATGATTATGCCGCACTGTCCAGTTCCATTCTGGCTATCGCCTATGGCGCCATAGCCATTGTGCGTGAGTCTTCTGCCACTCTGGAGTTTGCAAGGCTAAGATGCTAACTGGCATAGAATCGCGATGGGGTCTGGGACTAAATGCCAAATACTTTCCCAAGGAAAATGTCGTGCCGTTCAGTAGGGTCCGTTTGCCCTGACCTCTTGACCTAAGATCTGGTGTTGACTGACTACAGGTCCAATATGCTGGCGGCCCCGTCTACACGCTGGCCCTGCTAGGCTTCAAAGTCTCGCTGTTGGCCTCGTATCTCCGTATAGGCGGGTTCGTCAAGGCTTACCGTATCGTCATCATCGCCGTCATTGTCGCCTGTGTCTGTAACCAGCTGGCTTTTACGTTCGTTTTGTGTTTCGCCTGTCGTCCGATAGCCAGGCAATGGGATATGTCTATCCAAGGCAGCTGCATCGATACTGTCGCATCTTACTACGGTATGTCCCCTCCCGGGCCAGATTGTACATGCCAGACTAACACCCATGCAGCACTCGCAGGTACGAGCATAACTCACTTAGCAGTAAGCAAGCAACTTAAGTATACTAGGGACGAGTCTCGCCTTCGACTGCATCATCATCGCCCTCCCCCTCCCCGTCCTGATAACCCTCCGCCTCCAACGCCGCCAAAAAGCTGCTCTCGTCGCCGTCTTCGCCCTCGGCTTCTTCGTCACCATCATCCAAATCATCCGCATTTTTACAATCAAGGACCTGAAGACTTATACAGATAGCCAGCCTATCGTCCTTTGGTCCCTTATTGAAATTAGTCTTGGTGTAAGCACCCTTTTCCTTCCTCACTCAATCATCGCTCGCTACGCTACTTCACTGCCTACATTTTCACCACCTAGTCGCTCGCTACGCTCGCTAATTAACGATCTAGGTAATAATCTCCTGCATCCCAACCTACGGCCCCCTCTTCCACTCCCTCTCCCTAACCTCCTCCACCCACCGCCGCCGCCACGCGAACGGCTACCGATCGCAATCCTACCGCCTGACTTCGCCCTCGACCCGCCCTCCCGGCGGAGGCTATATCCATGGCTCCGGCTCCCGTCCTTTCGATAGTAGTATCCCCGCGACGACGACCATCATGTCGACAGCCGCAGAGCGGGATCGAGAACGAGATAAAGTCTCCTCGGACGGGGACTCGGAGGAGAGGATACTTGCGCGGTGTGCGCATATCAACGGGCCGTCGAATTCGCATTCGCGGGGCCAAGGGAGCGAGAGTGAGACGACGCTGGCGGAGTTGAAGGGGATGAGTGAGAACGGGATTCATACGATGACGGAGGTGAGGGTTGAGAGCCATAGTGTGAAGGGCTGTGGGTGGACTAGTGATTGATGGCGTTTTTGATACCCATGTATTTACAAAGTATAGAACTACACCTTTTTGTTTCTGCTAATGACGGTAATCTATCATTGATCTACATCTAATGCTACGAAACGAAGAAACGAAATACAAACATTGATATCACAGGCAATACAAATCGTCAGTCATTTTCGTGAAGAATCACTTCTTCAATCCCAGCAGGTTGATACTCTTGGGTCGCTCGATGGGCAAACCCAAGGCCCGGTCCCAGATGAGCTGTACCAATGGTCCCAGAGCACGGCTGACGCCAAAGGTGACGGTGTAGTATAGAGGCTGCTGGAAGCCGTAGTGGTAGAAGAGGACTCCGGAAGCGGCGTCGACGTTCGGGTGGGGATTCTTCGTCTGTGACTTCGTCAGTACATCGCATTGAAAAGTATCTCCAGGAAAAAAAGAGGCGCATACCTTTCCGTGTTCGGTCAACACAGCAGGCGCAATCTCCGAGTTCTTCTTGACGAGCTGGAAGACAGGATTGGCCAGGACATCTGGTCGGGTCGCAGCAAAGTCCATGAGCGCCTGGAAGCGCGGGTCGGGCTTGCGCAGGACGCCATGGCCATAGCCAGGGACGACGCGTCCCGACTTGAGCGTATCCCACAGGTAGTTGCGCACGTCAGCATCAGTAAACTTGGTGCCGATCTTGTCCTGCATGGCTAGGATCCAGCGCAGGACCTCCTGCGCGGCGAGTCCGTGCAGCGGACCGGCGAGACCCAGCAGCCCCGCGCTGTAGCTGAGGAAGGGGTCGCTGAGCGCGCTGCCGACCAGGTGGGTGGCGTGCGCGGAGACATTGCCTCCCTCGTGGTCGCCGTGCAGCGCCAGATAGAGGCGCAGCAGGTCGTGGAAGTCCTGGTTCTCCTTGCCGCCCTTGCCCAGGAGCTCGGCAAAGTTGTACGACCAGTCCTGGCTGGCGTCCAGGGCCTGGGTGCCCACCTGGTCCACCTCGTCCGGGCGGAAGACCAGCGCCGCCACTCGCGGGATCTTGGCCAGCAGCGAGATGCTGTCGTCAAAGGTGGGTTCCCAGTAGTCGGCCTTGTTGAGGCCCTTCTCGTAGGCCTTGGCGAACTTGGACTCGGTGTTGAGGGCCGCCACGGCAATGGACAGCTGCGTCATGGGGTGCATGGACCGGGGGAAGGACTTGATCAGGTCCAAAATGTGCTGCGGCAGATGGGACTGCTCGGCCAGCTCGCGCGAGAATGCGCGGACTTGGTTGGTCGAGGGGACCTGGCCCGTTAGGAGCAGCCAGAACATCGCCTCAGGGAGCATCTCGGTGCCTGACGGGCCCTTGGGCAGTTCCTTTTGGCAGTCCTTGATGGTCTTGCCGTGGAAACGGATGCCCTCCTCAGGATCCAGCACGGAACCCTCCCAGAGCATGGATTTGAGACCGCGCATGCCACCAATGACGTTGGCGACCTTGACCTCACCAATCACCTCATCGCTACGTTCCTTGACCTGCTTGAACAGTTCGCGTTTGGCGGGGATTACTGCCTTCAGAGCGGTCTTGAGATCTGGTTCGGCCGTTGAGTATCTGCGGGTATTGTTGAGAGCCAAGCGGGCAGTCTAGAGGGGATGACAGGATGAGTTCTTTGTATGCGATCGTTGCGCAAGGGTGGATTGCTCACCTGAGCCAGCTTGGAAGCATGGCGTGTTGATCTCATTGTCATGGCCATTGTGATGGGATGATATCAAGGGATGTGAGTTATGATGCGGGGACAAGGAGAAGAGAGCAAAAGATAAAAAGCTCAGCGAAACAAGGAGAAAAAAGAGCAATAGCTCGGCACCTCCGGTTGACCGCGGAGGTAGGCAGTGGACAGACAGCAGACGGCAGGGGGAAAGTCTGCCCAAACCGAGGCAACAAGCGGCTGCATGCGGAGTTGCGGTCGGCGGATCAGCAGTTGACAAGACAATTGGCATTACCGGTGTTGCATGGCCGATGGTTCGGTCCAGCGGTTGATTCAAGGATGGGGATGTAGTAATTGACCTTAGAATTGACCGTGATGAAGATCTATTCACAATTTCTCGATGGTTTGAATCATTTTGTTGTTGACATACAGAGGCAGCTCATACAACGGTCGGTTATCACATGAGGGGTTCGGGTATTCGTGGGTCTGGGGTAAGGATGACTCCATGTTTACTGACTCTACCACGCTCGAGCCTATCTTTGCGATGTACTGCTAGCAAGGGGAGCTATCAAGACCAAATCAGAGATACAAATTAAAATCCTCCTCCTACAGAGTATGCTGTAAGCATGATTATCATTGACAGCTGTTGCCATGCGGGGAGTCCCGATTAGGAAAGGCCAAGACCGGGGTATTTTATGCCTGAGGCAGCTAGAATTTAAGTCAGGCACCAACTTGCCACTCAGCCTCACTGTGGCGTAGATTTTTCCAGCCACACGCCACATGACCCAATGGACAAATCACCGTCCGCATGTGCTGGCGGTGAACTCTGATTGGCCATTACCCCTGAATCGCCTCAGGCAGAAATTTTCGACGGCTGGACACGAATTTTTCTTGTTGATAAAGCGAGATAGTGGAGACCCCTCCATCATCTATCATCAGCCTGGAATTTTCAAATCTTCTGTTTCTCTTCTTTGTTGTTTGTTTCCTTTCTTCTCATATACCCTAGACTTTGTCTTTTTCTTAAGACGATCTGTCCTCGGGGAAGGACGTTAATTTCATCCACCAGCTCATCGTCTCATATACCCTCCCCCTAATCGTTCGTTTCCCCGCCGTCGCCTCGAAGATAGTCCTGTCGGCCTGCCTTCAGCCCACTCAGAAGCACACGTTTTTGACACTCTCCACTCTTCTCCTCAAGTTTCATGATAATGCCTCACTCCGAGATGTCCGCACCTGTCGCCGTCTCGAAAACTCCCTCGGGAGTCCCTCCCACCGTGGAGGAGGTTTCCTCGCTTACGAACACAATCTTCACGGCTGAGACCTCGCAACAGTCTCTCGATGCTGCATACGGCCTGACAAACCTTCTCATTCAGAGCGTCGGAGCGTTCGGTCTTCAAAGATACAATATCCTCCCTGAGATCAAAAAGGCTGCTACCGATAAGAAGAGCGGTGCCCGACGTGAGAGCGCCATGTTGATCATTGGGGCCCTGTTCGAGCGCTTTCCTCGCGAGCATCCCCTCAGCGAAGTCGTCTTCCTTCTTCAGGATGGCGGTGTTTTGAACCTTGCTCTCGACGCTTTGGCTGACAAGGGCGCCGTCGTCCGCGATGCGGCCCAGTACGCCATCGATGCGCTCTTCGATTGCCTGAAACCGGAGTCGCTCGTCAACGCTCTCATCCCCGCCCTCTCGGCATATCTCAACAAGAGCTCTGGTAAATGGCAGGGCTTCGTCGGCGCCTATGCCCTATTGGAGAAGATGGCCGTCAAGGCGCAGATTGGCACGGGAACCATGGACGAGGAGCGCCAGAAGGATCTTCTGCGCAGCGCCATGGGCAAGACCCTCAAGGAGCTGATTCCCCTGGTTGAGTCCGGGATGCACGATCTCAAGAACGAAGTGGCCAAGCAGGCCAGCAAGACCATGACCGCGCTGATCACTCTGCTGGACAACGACGATGTCGCTCCTCGCATTCCCCTGCTCATTAAGACCATGGAGCAGCCTTCCGAACAGACTCTGCAAAACGCCATCCATGCCCTGTCTCAGACTACCTTTGTCGCCATCGTCACCTCGCCCGTCCTCGCCCTCTTGACCCCTCTGCTCGAACGTTCCTTGAATGCGCCCACGACGCCTCAGGAGACCCTGCGCCGCACTGTGGTGGTTGTGGAGAACTTGACCAAATTGGTCCATGACCCTGCGGAAGCACGCACCTTCTTGCCCAAACTCAAGCCTGGTGTCCAGGCTGTTAAGGATCGCGCCTCGCTGCCTGAAGTCAGAGAACTCGCGACCCGCGCCATGGATGTCATCGACAAAGCTATGGGTGACAGCAGCCTGGCGGCCGGCTCCGTAGCGAAGACGACCGCTGAAGATGTTCTCGCTGTGCTCGAGGCCAAGATCAAGGAGAACGGCGGCCTTGCAGTGCCCAGCGAGCACACCATCTTCGAACTCGGCAAGAATTACATCGCTGAGATGGTGCGCGAGGATGTCAACGCCAGAATGCACGATCGCATTCCTGCCTGTGTTGGCCCTTATCTTCGTGGATTCCTCCAGGATGACAAGCACGAGGCGGTCGCTTCTGCCGTCCAGGAGCACTTCATCGAAGAAGACCACCGCAAGTTCGGCAAGCCCGTTCCTGACGACCCCAACGAGGTTGAGATCGTCAACGCCAACTTCTCCCTCGCCTACGGAGGGATGCTTCTCCTTTCTCACACGAACCTTCGCCTCCTCAAGGGCCACCGCTACGGTCTCTGTGGTCGGAACGGTGCCGGAAAGTCTACCCTCATGCGCAGTATTGCCAATGAGAAGCTAGAGGGATTCCCTCCTCAGGATGTTGTCCGCACGTGCTTCGTCGAGCACAATCAGGGCGAAGACGCGGATCTGAGCATCATCGAATATGTGTCCAAAGATCCCAAGATCGCCGAAGCCGGACAAGAGCACATTAGCCGTGTCCTTCTGGAATTCGGCTTTACCGATGGCCCCGAGGGAAGACAGAACCAGCGGGTCGGCTCCCTCTCTGGTGGTTGGAAGATGAAGCTGGCTCTGGCCCGTGCTATGCTCATGAAGGCCGATGTGTTGCTCCTGGACGAACCGACTAACCATCTCGATGTTGCCAACGTCAAGTGGTTGCAGGAGTATCTGAAGCAGCACACTGACATCACCAGTCTCATTGTCAGTCACGACTCCGGATTCTTGGACGAGGTCTGCACCGACATCTACCACTACGAAGGAAAGAAGCTGGTCCACTACAAGGGCAACCTCGCCGCTTTTGTCAAGCAGAAGCCCGAAGCCAAGAGCTACTACACCCTGTCGTCCAGCATGGTGCAGTTCAAGTTCCCTCCCCCCGGTATCCTTTCCGGCATCAAGTCCAACACCCGCTCGATCCTTCGTATGACCAACTGCTCTTATACCTACCCCGGCGCTAGCAAGCCGTCTCTGGCTG